CCAGTGGGTATGGTCGTATGTGGTAGTTCTGCACATTCTAGATGTCTATAAGGGTGAGTGCTGATACTCTTTTTGTGGTGGTCATGGTAGTCATTTGGTGGCACATACTTGGAGGGTTTCGACGCATCTCACGCACGCTTCTTTTATGTACGCTGTACCCATTCATTTCTACAACAGTCTATATATAACTATACAACGCTTGAAGTCCTCCTTCTCTACTGTTCTAACACCTGAAACACTCACTGCTTCCGCTGCAAAAGGCAATGACGCCCCCACTTCCTCCTCAACTTCTCCGGAATGATCTCCCAATCAGGCAGCCACAAGGCTCTGGGCAAGAAGCTGGTGCTCGCTGGATCCATGAACTTTTCGCACTTGACAGTCTCCCAGTGTTTTGAGTCCGCGACAAAGTCAGGCTCGTTAGGAGGCGCTTTCCAATCCAGAGCCTTCTGCTGCTCGGGGAACTGCGTGTCGACGAGGAAAGTGCACGTCTTGGGATCGACATACTTGCCCGGATCCTCCTCGTTGCGGTCATTCAGGCCGCTGGTAGGCAGCCAGGTACCGCTGAAGAGACCAAAGCCGGTGCCGGCCTCGGAGAACTCACCGGGCAGAAGACCACGGAACTCGGAGCGGATGAATTTGGCGTGCATGTCGCGGGGGAGGAAGTAGGAGCTGGGGAAGCGGTACCAGTCCTTGCCGAAGCAGACGCTGTCACCCTCGCCGCCGACCTCAAATAGGGGCTGGTAGATGGAGAGAGGTGCGGAGTAGGCTGTGTAGAGACCGTAAATGCGAGCAAGGCCAATGTTGATGGAAAGGAGAAGGCCAAAGGCTACCACGGCTAGCTTCAGCTTGGCGGGAATTTTGCCCACCAGGCTCTTCGTATCGGCGTTTCCAAAGGCGGCGAGCAGAGTGTGAATAGCAAGGGCAGCGTTGAGGGCAAGGAAGGGGTAGGCGGGGTACATGAACCGCTCTTCTTTGTGGGGCTGAAGCGAGAAGATGGCGAGCCACATGTAGAAAGGGGTCAAGAAGACCACAGTACGGAAGCCAGTCTGGAAAGTCTCGGCGGACTTGGACAACAGCTTCTGCAGCATCAAAATGGGGAGGGAGAAAAGTGCCAAGACAAACCAAATGTTGAAGTTCAAGGCCAGATTCTTGAAGTAAAAGTCCCAAGGCTCGGTGCCGTAGAGTTCAGGACCGCCGGTCTTGGAAAAGATGTTGTACTTCACAATGTTCCAAGAGGCGATCTCGACCTTCCTGTAGAAGAAGGTGTTGACCAGCATATCTCCGAACTAGAGATTTTTAGCACTCGCTACAGTAAAAGGGGACAATGGAGGAAAGAGAGGTGCAACCTACCACAAGAAGTCCAGCGGCGACGACACCACGGATCACACGGTGAGCGGCCTCAAAGAAGCGTTCACTATCTCCGACCAGGGCAAAGACCACTTCCTCCATCAAGAAGGGGGCGCAAAGAGCGGCAGCAAAAGGCCATCCAATGACACCACCAATGGCGAAGAAGAACATGGCCCTGGAAGTCTTGAGACCCCCCTTCCAGTTGATGAAAGCGGCGGCTCCCAACATGGCCATGTACATGGCGAAGCTGGAGGGCAGAAAGGCGGTGCTGGAGTGGAAATTGCCAGGGCTGGATACGAGCGCCACGATAAAGAACAGGCCGATCCTCGGGTTCAGGGCTAAGCAGACAGCCCTCCACATGAGCGTTTGGCTGAGGGCGCAGACGAGAGCCAAAGCATAGCGGACGAAGTAAAACTCGGCGACCTTGTTGGAGTGAGGGAGCAGTCTGCGAATGTTGCCCACGATGGCATGAAGGGCGATGTAAAGCCAGCTGCGGATGGCATAGTCGGGTGAGTATTCCCAGGTCTGGAGACCATAGCCGTGGCTCAGATAGTGAGTGGGTTCCCAGTAGTTGAAGGTCTCGTCACAGTCCTGGATGGGGGCAAAGAGAGCAGCGATCAAGTTGGCTCCGAGGAAGATGTAAAAGGCCGAGATGGGTTCGATTGCGTAGGCATCTCGAATGGCCCTGAAGACGGTGATGTCAGCTACACATCAGAGAGTCCAATGTAATGCAAACATGAGTGAAGCATTGAAAGCTTGTCACAATGGCGACGGGTGCTGGATTTCACTCACTGCTTCTTGGCATGTTTGGCTTTGGGATGCACAAACTCCTTAGGAGCTTCGGTGGTGGGTGGTGGCATCGGGTCGTCACTGTCTTCTCCTGGCCTTGGAAACTTATGTGTTTGTTTGGATGGATCAAGAGAAGAGCAAAGGGAACTTGAAGAGTTCGAGTTCGAGTTCGAGTTGGAATTAGAAGGGTGACAGTGTTTAAGCTAAAGAAAGAAAGAAAGTCGTCACAGCATGGGCGGCGCTATCACGATAAGCCGCGGTCAACAATACTTTATATGTTAAACAATGTTCAGTTCAACAAGAACGAAAAAGTTGGGGGATTTCCACAGGGCAGCGTCGGAAGCTTCCAGTTCAGCAGCTTGTCGTGCGTCACTCCCGCAATTGGACAGCTCCATCGGAAGTTCAATTGAGTGCAGGCAAGGCAATGCACGTGAAGACTGCTGGGCAGAGCTTGGCTTGTGCTGGGCTTGTCCCTGACAGGAATGGCGCATCCTTACAATAAGGTCTGTGCTTCCTGCAGCTTTGCCCCGCCATACGACAGGGTCTGGTTCAATTTATTTTTTGCCCATAGCCCATGTCCCAAATTTTGGATTTGGTCTGATAAGAATTGCGATAAGGAATTGGTCCTGCAGACGGGAGCGTCGCTCTGTTAGTTTTGCCTGAATCTTTCTTCCTTCCTTCCCCATCCCATCAACTTGCCTTCAGTCCATTCGTCTTCATATCCTCTTTTTAAAGGATTGACTTCGCTTGTTATTTGACATCCCAGCCTTGAATCGGTCGGTATCTATACAAACGCGCGCCCGTTCTTTTCCTGAACGGCACCTTGCGCGACGCGTTGTGCTACAATCACTCTGGTCATCATTGTCAACAACCAGCCCTCACCTATCGTCACCAAGGAAAATTCCTGTTCAACAAACTGCATCCAAACTAGACCACCGTTCTTGCCTTCTCAACTTCTCGTTTTGCCATGTCTGGACACCCCTTCCAGATTCCCGGCCTCGGCCAGGCAAGGCCAAATGAGCAGCTCCCCGCTGACAACTTTGCACCTGATCTTCTCGTCGCTGCCGCTAGCATCGTCGGACAGGATGTTCTCGCGGTGACCTCTGCTGACCCCGCGCAACTGCTTCAACAACTGCAGAAGCCTAAGACCGAGGAGAAGACCGAGGAGAAGACCGAGGAGAAGACCGAGGAGAAGAAGGATGAGAACGCTATGGAGATCGACTCCAAGCAATCAGACAATGCGCCTACCAAGACACAGGAAGATGTCAGCATGGCCAACCACGGCGACAACAAGCCACAAGCTGCCGCCGACAATTCCACCGCTTCCAACCTCGACTCTCCTCCGAGCCCCGACGTTACTTCTACACTCGAAGCTGCCCTCAATGGTATGCTAGATGCGCCTACCAGTTCGGCAACCATGGCCAACGGCGAGGGCCAAGCCGGCGCTCAAGACGCACAAGAGGAGGAACACCCAGAGTGGGAGGAGGACACGTCGCCATACGAGTCTTCATCCGAGTCGAGCTCCGATAGCTCATCCGATGATGACTCGGATGACGAAGATGCTCATCCTATCTTGGGCGTGGAGGAAACAGTCAGGATGCTTATGGCTGGCCTTGACGATGAAGAAGAAGATGGACCCAACAAAGGAAAGGGAGCTGGCGCGCCATTGCGGACCAAGAACGAGATTGTCGAGGAGGTCATCCCCAAGCCTGAGGTTGTCATCACCCCCGAAATGACGATCGAGCCTCTGGCGCACGTCGAGTTCATTGTCGAGAATACCGTCGTCATGAAGTCTAGAGTCCCCGGCGAGGTCAAGGTTCTCGACTTGGGTTCGGTCCTTTGCAAGGAAGACAGGACGGTTATTGGCGCCTTGGCCGAAATCATTGGTAACGTCAAGAGCCCCATGTACACTTGCGTTTTCCAAAACCAGGAGGAGATCAAGCAGCTTGGCTTGGAAGTTGGCACACACATCTTCTACTCTGTTGACCACGCCAACTACGTCTTCACCCAGGAGCTCAAGAAACAAAAGGGCACCGATGCCAGCAACCTCCACGACGAAGAAGTTGGTGCTGATGAGATGGAGTTCTCTGACGACGAGAAAGAAGCCGAGTACAAGAAGCAGCTGAAGATGAAGAAGCGTGGTGGAAAGGCCGGACGTGGTGGTCTTCGTGAGCAGGTCCTTCGTGACCAGTCTTACGCACCGAACGCTGGATATGCTCCCTCAGCAGCATCTAGCGCCACCCTCGATCATGCCCCCACAACGTCCAGCGGCACTCTCAACTACGACGAGGATGACGATGGTCCGTACAGGCCTCTTGCTAGGCCCGTAGGCTTTGGTCAGGGAGGGCCGCCCTCACTGCCACCGAAGCCTGAAGTCGGCTTCAACGCGGCACATGGTGGTCAGAGTCAGCGGGGTGGCTTCAGCCGTGGCAACCGGGGTGAGTTCCGCGGCCGTGGCCAGCGCGGAGGAAACCGTGGTGCTGATCGGAAGCCTGGTGGCCACCGTGGTGGAGGTGGCGGTGCTGCCGCGCCTTCCTATGGAGGCTATGAGAGCGCTTCGGCACCTCAATTCCCCAACACACAGCTGCCCCCTCCAATCCCGCCAAATGCCCAAATCCCCCCCTCCTCCCTTTGGCGGAGCCGCACCTCCGATGCCCGGTGGCCATTGGCCTCATATCCCCATTCCATTCCCACCGCCTCCTATGTCCTTCCCCCGGCCCTCTACCCAGTCACCTGTTCCTCCCCCTCAGCTTGCCGGAGCTTTCAACTTCAACTTTCAGGCATGGAACCAGGCTCAGGGTCAACAGTATCAATACCCACAACAAGCTTCGTCATCGTCCGCTCCTGCGCCCCAGCAACAATCGTCAACTCCCAGCTACCCACATCAGGCACCGGCCGTCCCGCCTGTGTGGCCTGGCGTTCCGCCCCCGCCCCCTGTCGCCGGCGCATACGTAAACCCGGCCTTCTTCCAACAGCTGCAGGCTCAAGCCCAGCATGCCCAGCATGCCCAGCAGGCTCAGCAGGCCCAACAGCCTCAGCAACCTCAACAACCTCAGCAGCCGCAACAGCAGCAGCAGTATTGGGGACAGCACAACGCATACGGTCAGGCTCCCAAGTAGGATCAATCGAGCCCGCCAGTTGCCGTGGTGGTTGTCAACAACAATGTGCACAGAAGGCGCCAGGTGCCGTATGTCGAGACAGATCTCTATCAGAGCGGTGACTCTTCCTAAACAATCAATCGGACATTTGTTCGCCTTGACTTGCTAAGTCGACACGCAGTGGCCTTGGTAGCGCATCACCTGAGGGCCTCTGTGCTTTCTTATACATTTTGCATGTTCGGAGTTATGTCTTTACCAGTATTTCTGGTTTGATTGAGAGGGTCAGGCTTGAGTTTCGGTTTTGAAGAAGGATGGCTCTTTGAGCAAACCTTTTGCCTGTATCCGGCTTTGCTTTTCAGCGAGAAGCAGCATAGTTATTATGCTATCGACAGATGAGCAGGAAATACTATTCCCTGCATAAAACCATCAGGATCGGCATACCTGAAGACACGTCTGGATACTTCACTCAATGGAGGAGAGAGATCCAGGCTTGGATCCCGGTTCTGAAAGATGTTCGAGTATTTGAGCGAGTATATACCATATCAGAATCTTTTTTGGTCATTTAGCATCTACCTACATGGTGATGCAGCATGGTGTTTCCGATAGCGAGGATGACAGGGAATGATATGCTGTGCATACAGCAATCAAGGTTGGCCATCCTGGCGCCGCGGTACGAGATATATCGAACCGGTCAAGAGACACAAAGAACGCAAACACGGCACAAACCTGTGGCAGGGATATGGTGCGATTCATACAAGAGGACCGAAGAGGGACACACGCGGTCATGGTGTTATCATCAATTGACATTGCTGTATTGTCACTTCTAGGTTCTGTACAGTTCAGCCATTAGGCTTGCTTTCAGGAGCAGGTGTTGGAGATGGGTGTTGGATCGCTCCCGTATACCCGCGCATGGCGAGCCCAATGTTCATTCACTCGCTGCACCTTGGTAGCGGCACAAAGAAAGATTAAATAGACAAACCAACAGTTGAAACAAGCTGAATGGCCATCCACCCGCTGAACATAGCCCGTAGATTAAATATCATTCCAACAGTTACACTACCAACAGAGTACCAACGACGCCGTCGATCCCATTATAGCAATTAGCGCCGTGCTATATCCGCGATGTGAAGGACTATGGCTCGATGCTACTATGAGCATGGAAGGGCAAATATTTCATGATTGCCCTTCTGAGCTTTCAAATTTGTGGTGAGCTCAATACTACGGTACAAGATGTGCCCATCATCTTGGCCAATGCACTTCCCGAGGCTACCTCCCGCTTCTTCCCCCCTGTCTGTTCGATTTCGATCGGGCAGGCTGTCCGTCTGGGACTTGGGAACTCTGGGTACAACTGCGAGTCTATAATTTGCAATTCGTTCAACGTGTTGTTAGAATTCTCACGGAAACGAAAATCAGTTCAGAACATCCGGGAATGTATGCATGCGCACGCTACCGAGTCTGGAAAAGACGGGAGGAAGCGATATGTGCATCTTCATGCTGGGCTTTAATGTGAAATTTCTGTCAGCTTACTACACTACATTGTACCAACTGGTATCGCCACCTCTACGTATTTTCTATCTATTGTTCATAGAATTGTTGTTGATTTTACGTCAGATTTTATCGCTTGTGCTGTGCTTCCCAGCTCCTCGGCTTCCCATTTGATAAATCTACCCTTTTTCCAGTGATGAACATGCTCCATACCTACTGAAAACTTGAGGATATCTTGACATATCAATATGACAATATGAAGCCTGTGAAGCAACCGAGTTTTACCGCCCGTCTGTCAGCTGTCTGCCCCTTCACATTTCCCACGGGCATCTCCCGTCTCCCAATGTCCTCGCATTTTGGAACTTGGATCCCCCATCGGGTAGCTTCCCCACAAACCGAAGTGGGAGCGCAGACCAACCAACTCACCGGACAAGGGCACTGGAGGCCAACTGGGACTGTGACGGTTGATCACCTCACCCATGGAGTTTTTATCGAGCTTTGTTCTCACGCTGTCGATGACCCGATGTCAACAATCGTGATCTTTGTCCACACTTCACAGGGGTTGAGAACAAGCGCAAAAGCCGAGGCAGCGGTATCCTTGCAAATGCTAAGCGTTTCAGAAATTACAGGGGGAGGGACGATGGGGGGGATTGGGGATTGGGGATTGGGGTCGTCAGGGTCCTTTTTTGTCTTCCAGCACAGCAGTCGCGTGTAGCGGATGCGGGATGGTCGTTCCGATTCCGAGTTTGCCATGTCGACGGGGCCTCTGGAGGATTCGTGCTAGTGTACATACCGAGGACGAGGGCGGCATTGTTTGCATATGATTTTGGTGGGCTTTTAGCTGTTTCCATGGTGTTTTACGTTTGCACGTCGACGTCGACGTTTTCCATACACCAAGGAGGTACTATATGTAAGCACCTTGATGGCTTTTGGTGGTTCCGTCGGGTCCGTGTTTTTGGCTATCATATCTCGTCTTGGCCGTTCACCTCTGACCCATCTTACGATAAGTCCTGGGTTTGGCCCTGGATCGTCCTTGCTGGCGGACATTACACCATGGTGATCAGTTGCTCTAGCATTGCGATCTCGTGAACCGAGCCCAAATTGCGATCTTATCGAGGTTTCTCTGTCCTGAGTTGAGAGCTGGGGGGATCATTGTTCGGACCTCCAATCTCCCCTGCGCCACAAAAATGGTGCGATAGACGTTGGTGTTCAGCGCAAGGGAGGGAGAGAAAAGGGTTTAACAACAACCTTGGGAGTTTGCTCGGAGATTTCCATGGCTTGCCGGGAAGTTCAAAAGGATGTTGACCAGGAGGCTATTGTTCAGTTTCTGTACGGTCTGAAGTTGATAAAGCAGTGGCTCGATCCAACTGCCGACACCCGTGATGCCTCTCAGTCGAAGGAAGAGAACCGGTGAATTCCAGAAAGTTGTTCCTGCCAGGCCTACCTATCGGCTTTCCATGCGCGGCACGAGCGGATCAAACGAGAAGCCAGAGAAACAGAGAGGAAAGGACGCCGTCTCTTTCGCTTTGCCCTGCTGTTGCGGAGGAAAGGGGTTGTAAGGGTTGTGGTCCCCGAGACTAGTGAAAAAGGCTGATGGACACCACTTTGACGAACTTTGGGGATGTCAGGGCTCAAGGGGGGAACGTCAACGCTGCCCCGCAAAAAGAAGAGATGGGTAAAATCTCACGGCCAATCATAATCTGTTGCCTCAATTTCGCTTAGAATGTGATCTGCAGGCCTACCAATCAGAGACGCTTGGGACCTGGGCAGATTGCAGGGGTCCGAAGTTGGTAGGAGCTCCTCCTAGCTCCATGCCGTTGTCCCCAGTGTTTGTGTGTGAGAAAGATGGTAGCGCGAGAGAGAACGAGTGATTGAAAGAGACCCGACTGATTGTTGATCAGAGAGTGCGAGAGGCTCTCTCATGAAACTGGTGTTAAGTTTTTCTCTCTGCGATCCGAACCGATGAAACGACTTGTCTTGAGCAAAGTTCTATGAGTTGTTTACTGATCAGCAATGACAGCACAGCCCAAGGACAGCTTCAGTTCAACATCATGACGACCTAGAAGAAGGCATGATCCAAGGACGTACGACGATGGACATGAAAGTGTCCCTTAAATTCCCGTCCCCAGTGGAGGGTGGCATCTGCATCTCCACCTGTGCCGCTTCAGCGCCCGAATACGCAGGTCAGGCAGGTTGCATTGGTGTGGTTAGCTTCCCCAGCTTGGAGGGAGTCGCGACCCATGCCGCATGGTGGCCGGAGTGGGCTAGGAGGACTGGGCAGGAACGGTCTGTCTCTGCCTGTCTCTGCAACCTAGCTTTGCGCTGGCATTTTCCCCGACTTCTCTCAGCCTCTCAATCTCTCAACCTCTTCTCTTTTCTCTTCCCTCCTGCATCTTCCACACATTCCCCGTTGGAAGAACGCCCGCCTCTCTTGTCGCCCTGTGGTGTTGAGTCTCCGGTTCTAGCACATTGTCATGATTATGAGCTCGTGACATGTTGACTCGCCCTCCCGTCATTTTACCTTACTTCCCCCCCACAGCCTAGATATCGCGACATAGATATCTCGCCATTCCTTCTTTGCAACTATACAAAGTTCGCACTGCGACGACAACGAGTGGTTGACTTCCGCTCGATAAGACATTCATTCCTTTTTACGCAACCCTCACGAAACAGAAGACACCATCACATCACACTTTACTAAACGACGACGAAAGAGACGATATCGATTGCATCATTTCATCCAAAATACTAGGAGTCACGATCATCCGAACCACCACGCCACTTTCATATACGATACTCGACCATCATGTCCGACCATAGGATTCATATGCGCCATGCGCATCACCATCTGGAGCGTAGGGGCTGGGACGACGTCAAGTCATTTTGGAACAATGTGTTTTCACCCGATGAAGAAACGACAAATGCTGTTACTACCAGAGTCGCCCAAACAGTGACCGACGCGGACTTCTGGGCGACAGCTACTGCTCAGGAAACCATTGCGACCAAGGGGTTTCCTCTTACTGCCAGTGCTGCCCATGCCACATCTACACACCACAGCACCGCCCCGGCAACCACTACGTTAAGAGCTCTCACCACCAAGGCGTCATCAGCAGCAGTCTCATCATCGCCTGCGGAACTACTTCCATCAGATGTCATGACGGATGAAATCAGTGCAACCGGAACCCTCAAGCTTGAGTCTACCTTGGCGCTTGCGTCGCCGACATCCAAGACCCTCGAAGCGGCCACATCAGCAACTGCTGCTCCAACTGCCACGGCGGCAAGCAGCACGCAAGAAGGGACCAGCGGCGCTGCCAAGGCCGGTATTGCTATCGGTGTGTTGGCTGGTTTGCTGGCTGTCTTCCTGTTGGTATGGTTCCTCTTCAACAAGCGGAAGCGCCAGATGGAAGCAGAGAAGCAACGCCTGGCCGATGACGAGAAAATCAACGGTCCCTTTTCCGACAAGAATGAAGTCAAGACTCCCACCGCCGCTCCGCGCTTGAGCTTGCGACCCGCCAGTCAGTTCATGCCCAACGGCGTTCCAGAAAGGAGAGCGAGCCGCGCCAACATGTTGAGCACCACCTCGAACGCACCTGTGTCACCCCTCAACCGCCCCACAGGAGCTAGCGCTTGGGAACGTCCGACTCTCAGCTCGACCCAAGAAGTTGGCGAACGCCCCGGTACCAGCGCAAGCTCCAACCCATTCGGTGATAACCAGCGAATTCCGGAAGAGTCTTCACCAGTCAGCCCGGCTGGTGACTCGCCTGTCTCCCCTAATTCCGCTGCGGCTGGAGCTCTCGCTGGTGCTGGTGCTGGTGCTGGTGCTGCTGTTGGTGCTGGTGCTGGTGTTGCTGTTGGTGTTGCTGCTGCTGGCGGTCTGGAACGGAAAGCTTCAATCCGGAAAGATGGACCCAAACATCTTGATCTGACCAAGCCGCCATCTCTGCCGTTGAACGCCCACCGCCCAGCCCTGCTGGAACTGACTATAGCATGAACACTGTTGCTCCTGGCCAGTCACCTGGTCCCTCGGCTAGCTCTGCCGCCATTGCTGCTGCTGGAGGACCAGCGCAGTCAACCGTCCATCGTGTGCAGCTCGACTTCAAGCCAACGTTGGAGGATGAGTTGGGTCTTCAAGCTGGCCAACTGGTCCGTCTTCTCCACGAGTACGACGATGGCTGGGCACTTTGCATTCGTCTCGATCGGTCTCAGCAGGGTGTTGTTCCTAGAACTTGCCTGTCCGCACGTCCAGTGAAGCCACGGCCTCCTCAAGGTGGTCCTGGTCCCCGCGGGCCACCAGTTAGACCTAACTATGGTCCTGGAGGACCTGGAGGACCTGGTTATGGACCTATGAGCCCCAATCATGGGCCGAATGGGGGCCCGGGCTATGGGCCTGGACCTAACTATGGTCCTAACGGAGGACCTCGTGGCCCCGGTGGACCTCCCCGCGGTCCTCCCCGCGGCCCTCCCCGCGGTCCTCCTTATGGTGGCCCAGGCCCGCATGGCGGACGTCCCGGGCCCGGACCCATCAACACCAAGTTCATGGATCCTCGCGGCGCACCACCTCCCGGCTCGTACTCCAGACCTCAGTCCCCCGCTGGGCCAATGATGCCTCGTAATGGACCCATGAGCCCTAATGGTGGACATCCTATGTCGCCGATTGGCAATAACCCCATGAGCCCGGTGCAAGGTCCCGGCTCGCCCGTCGACCGACAACTAACCCAAGGCTCCCAAAGCCCGGTCACCGCGAGCCGAAGAATGACGCCTCCCGGACCCAGCCCGATTGCTCAGGAGTACCGCCCAGAGTCGCGAACCGCACCTCCTGCTCCTGCTCCTCCGCCACCAGTGAGCAACGAGACAGCACCAGGGCAGGCATATTAACAACGTACAAAATGATCGAGTCTCTCTTTTAGCATATTGTGCAAATCATGCCGCGCATATACCCTTTCATTCGGAGCATAAGGTCTCTTTTACTACACAAGCAAAACGAAACATAACCAGGCAATGGCGTTCATGAGATGAAGGGAGATGAGGAAATCTTTGCAACACACACAACACTCGCGCCAATGGCTTGCGATCCTTTTTTACTATTCACTTCTCTTCGTTTTTTTTGTTCATTTTCCCCGTTGCCACAGGTGCTTTCGGGGTTTGGAGCTTGTTCATATCTTCTTCAAAAATATTGTTTCGGGACTTGGATTGGTGCTATTTACAATTGGTTGAATTCGTAATCGAGGCTGGGAACCGATGAGTTGTTGCTGTTGTTGATATGATGGGGGTTTGTCTGGGTGGTCAAGCCTGCGTGCGGCCAGGCCGAGCAAAACACAATATTTTCTTCTGTTCATTGTGGATGTATGATATTGCTGTATATGGATACGGTATCTATATGACAAGCTGGATGCCTTGTATCGTTGTTGAGTCCAGCCTGGGGTTGGGGCGGAGGCGAGAATATGCATATGGCTGAGCTAGCATGATATGTAGCTGTATGGAATCTAGGCATGATGAGCAAGTACAAAGTCGATTACCCACTCATTATGTCAACTATACGTGAAGTAAACTTTGGAAATGACCCGCTTACAAGCTAAAGAAACATATAAACATACGACTCCATAAACGCCGCTGTGCTATGCAATAGCTAGTGTTAACAAGAATGAACAAAACGCTGCTACCCCAAAGAGCTCCCAAAATCATGAACGATCTTGAAATAAACCGGACCAAGGCATGTGGCTATCATACGCCACTACCGAGAAAAACCGTCGCTATGTTCCTACCAGTCAGCAGCCCACCCGTTTTCATTCAAGAACTCTTCACAGGCGTTCTTGAGGTCAATGTTGGGCACCAGATCCTTGATGGTAAGTGGTGTTCTCGTGAGCGGATCCGTCTCGCTTCTTCGGAGGTGTTCCTCAATGGATGCGCGTTCGTAGGATTTGCCTGTTTTTGTCTATTTCGTCGCATATACCGTTAGCTACCATACCGCCATGCGGAGGTACTCAGGTCCGTAGAGACAAAGTGGGTGAGAAAAACAAAACGATGTAAAGAGAGAAGGAAAAAAAAACACTAAAAAAACTCACCATAACAGGATCAACCATGACCTGAAAGCTGATACCATCAATCGCCCAATCCGGCGGATTCGGCCTTCTCCTCTGGTCCTTCTCCCTCACCTGGTCAAACACGGCTATTATCCTATCGATTTTTTCCCTGTACATCTTCTCCGTCTCTTTTCTTTCTTCTTCTTCTTCGTCATCATTCGATGCAGCACTACTACTTGTCTTTAGCGCCTCCTCCATTTCTTTCCGCAGCAGCTCCACCACCTCCCCCTCTAATTCTTGCTCCTCCCTCCTTCGCAGCTTCTCCCGATGCTCCCACCTCGCCTTCTTGCACTTCAGCACTTGGCTCGTCACGGCCGCCAGCGACTTGTCGTGCGTCTCGGCGCAGATCTTGTGCGCTTGCAGCGCGTAGTCAACGGCTTGGTCGTAGTTTTTGAGCGGCAGGTGCGCTTGCGAGAGATAGTAGAGGGCTTTGAAGTTCTTGCTGCCTGGTGCGCGAGGTTTTTTGCCCGCCATGTAAGGGCAGCCACCAGAGGAGGAGGTAGAGGAGGAGGTGGTGGTGGTTGTGGAGGGGGCAAGGGAGGAAAGACGGAGACATTCCTCGCAGTCTTCGATTACCGAGTCCCAGCGGGACATTTTGAGGCGCGCCATGGCGCGGTTGGTGTAGAGGAGGGGGTTGATGGGGTCGGCGAGGATTCTGTAATAAAGAGAAGAAGGGGGGGTTGGTTTTTGAATGATGGCAAGAGTCGAGCGCAGAAGGGGGAAGGAAACTTACGCCTTGGTGTACAAGGCCTCGGCAGCGACGTAATCGCCCCTTTGGAAGTGGCGGTTACCCTCCTCTTTGAGGGCTAATGAGGACTGTCCTGACATCGTTGCTGTTGCTGTCGCTGTTTGATATAGTTCGTGATAAATCGTAGCGCTCGTAGGTCGGAGGAATGGATGGGTGGCTTTTCCGCAAGAGGGCTGGCTAGTTTAGAGGAGAAGGTAAGAAAGGAGGAAGTAGGAGGGTAGGAACTTGGAGATGCTTTGGACAGCTGTTGCTTGACTGAAGCGAGTATGATGGAATCTCGAGCGGAAGTCGGCAACGTGCCTCGGCGGTCTAGGCGACGAGAAGAGTATGAGATGAGAGGTCGGGGGAGGTAGAGACGAGTGGCCTCAAGGAGGACAGTGACACTTGGCTGGGGGGACGAGCGACGGTTCGCGCATACCTTGGGGATGATTTGCAAAGCAACTTGCGAGTCCTGAGAGACTGTGAACAGATATGGCAGCACGAGGAGCTGTCGTTTGACGACAGACTGGGAGATTTGAAGTTCCGAGTAGACAGGCAGTCAGTTGGATGAAGAGATTCCGAGTTCCTCCTGAAGCTGCCGTGACGTGGTGGGGTTTCTGGCTGTTATTGGGGAATCCGGGGTCCTGATCCACATTACCGCAGGGGTACAGCTAAGCGGGCTGCCAGTATCTAATCCACGGCCCTGTTAGTGTTAGTTGTCAGTTTACCAGAGAACAGTAACAACATTGAGGGGACGGTACCTACGTCAAGCTACTTGCATTTGTAAACCACCCAAATGGGAACATTCTAGAAGTCAGCCTGTTCCCACGGCATCGCTGTCAGAGCATAACGGTAAGCAATGGCAGTATTGCCGAACAGTGTGTTGTTAAGAAGTCAACAGCGACTAACATGTATAGATATTTTGCACATGGAATCGCATTTCCATGGTGTTCTCCCTTTTCAGACGGGAGGAGTTGCGCAAACTATACCGTGATCGCCATGGCCCTATCGGACCATCAAGGTCCTCACTACATGTGCGCATTATTTGGCGCCATCCGTTTTCAGGGCTGAGTTAGCCATGAGAATTTACGTCTCAGGTGCCTTGGAATTAGGGTTATAGTAGAAGAACTGAGCAAACCCTGAAAACGGATGGCGCCAAATAATGCAGTACATCTGATAGCCTTTCCGTGCATACGGGAAGCAAAACTCATGAATTCTATTTCATATCGCTCTCATGCCTTGGGCTTAATCCTGCTACTCTCTCGTGTAATAACCCAAAAAGGAACAGACACCCCTCCATAGATACTAGTCGTGTATATAAAAATGAAAAAAACGCCGCTCCTTTGCGCCATCCACACTCGGAGATAGACTATGTCGTAATCACATATATCATAAACCGGTTTTGCCCCCCCCCCCCTCTGTCGTAACCAATGTCCCTCTATATGACTTCCTCATCTCATCATGAACAAGACTCGTACAAGTACAAAGTGCAACAGGACATATGTGTGCATGGATTGTGTACATAGGCTCTGATATGATCATAAGCAAGAAATGATAAGAATATGTATGCAAACATCGTTACTCGTTCGTTTCGTTCGTTTCGTTCGTTTCGTTCGTTTCGTTCGTTTCGTTCGTTTCGTCTCAGAAGGGGGGGTATCGACCAAAAAGCGCGTTTTGTTTCTTCCCGCCGTCGTGACATCTTTCGCCCCATCTATCCCGTCTCCAGCCATCCCAAGTCTGACCCGTAATTCCCTTCCCTTTGTCCCTTTTACACGTGCTGGGCCGATGTCAGATCAAATGAAACCTCCGCCATCTCCACGACCCGAATTCGACTTGGAAGGCGGCGACGGGCCCGAGCCACTCCCGCTGTTGTTACGACGTTCTTGCTCCCTAAGCCTCCTCAATCGTTCCCGGTACGAAGTCGAATCGTCCCTTGCTGACCTTTGCTGCTGCTGTCCTTGCCCCTGCCCTTGTCCACCACTTTCCACATGCTCAATATACTCCTTTTCCACATCCTCCACCTCGCCGCCGGGATATTGTTGCCCGGTAGCTCCTGGAGCACGTGGCGGACTGTGCGTGATGCTCGGGCCGTATCGCGATTGCTTCTCGTCCATGTACCGCCCGACATCCTCGAACTCTTCGGAACCCTCGTCGTCATCGTCGTCATCATAGTGCTTCGATGCGCGCGGCGTGGTCCGAGAGTTGCGCGAGTCGCCCTTGACGAGCCCCAGCGTCTCCTCCTCAGATGCGCCCCGTATTATGTGTGGCGCGGAGAGGCCGAGGTGGGTGGTGAATTTATCTCTTTCCTTATTAGAGTGAGAGGATTGTTGGGAGTGGGCACCGTCGCTTTGCGTATGGGCGTGCTGGCTCTGTCGATCGCCGCGCTTGAAGACGCTTTGGAAGGAAAACTGCCTACTGGCACCCATTGGTGTTCTTGGGGGAGGAGGAGCTAGAGGAGGGGCGAGCGTGCTGCTAGATGGGTGGTTGGCTTCGGTGGAAAATTGTACCCGAGGCCCGGAACTGGAGATACTACCTCTACTTCCTGGTCTGTCATACAAATATCCCTTTGAAGAGGGCCCGGCAGCAGTTCCCTGGGGGTAATACCCTGTCTCCTCGTCGAAGTTTTGCGCCGGTACTGCGATCTCTGTCAACTGAACAGGATGCATGGGACTTTGCATCTTGTTGGATGCTGAGTTGGGGCGAAAGTTGGGGTGGCCGGGGAGGAGGACACTACGCGCACGGTTGCGGATGGAGCCGACGATATTCGAGAGGGCAGGTGAAGCGGGTCTATCGGCTGCAGCGAGCTCTTCGTCTGTCGGGAAATGTGACCATCCAAGGGGCGGGTGTGGTGTTGGAGGCGGGATTTGGAAGGTTGCCGAGGTCGTAGCTCTTGATCGTTGACTTGCCGAGTTGGAGCCCAATGTCGTCCTTCTCCGTCTTAGTCCGTCCCATTCGTACACGGGGCCCTCCTCGCCAACTGTTTCGAGGGTCTCCATCATCTTTTCTTCGTGTAATCGCTTCAATTCCTCAATCTCCATCTTCTGCTGCCTGGCTGATGATAAACGTCTGACAATTGCAGCGGCACCTCTGAGGGCGTCGGCCTTTGGTTCGGATTCGGGCTGTTCCTGCTCTGCGACGGTGCGCATCTGGTCCAGGTCTCCAGAAAGGACAGCGGCGTCGGGCACGTCTTTGGCGGATTTTGAAAGCTGAAGCAAGACAACGCCGGAACAGATGGTCAAGAAACCAAAGACCACGGTAACAATGGAGACTGCTGTTCCCTTGAAGCCTTTGAACAACACCGCCGAAGTAATGATGGTCGTGCTCGTGAAATACACGTAATAGGTGGGAGTAACCATGGCTGCGTTGAACAAGTTCAGCGCTTTCTGTAAGGAGTGTGAGCATATGGTTCGACATGCCCCGACCTTCAGCGGCGAGACTCACATTCAAGTAAATAAGCTCAGTCAAAAGACTGGCAATAAAGAACACGATGACGATATAGATAAACCATCCCTTGAACTGGGGCTCGCCTCCGGCCTGGGCAACGATGGCCGAGCCCAAGCCTTGAGTAGAGACAACACTGAGACCGCCAATCCAGCTGCAGATGGAGATGTATACCAACATATTCTTGTTTCCCCATCTGGGGCCAGCATACCAAGCCGTGATTGCTGAGGCCAGAATAATGACACCTGCGTAGGAGAGAAAGCTCGGCGTGATGACGAATTTCTGAAACTGTTGAATATTGGCGACAGCGGACTCTTGTGGCGCGTTGAGGACAATGACGACGGAGCCGACAATGCACAGAAAACAAGAAACCTTGCCGATCATACTCAGCCGTTCTTTGAGGACCATGGCGGAGCCGACAGTAGCGACGACGACGGAGAGAGCGCCGAGAGGGGTGACCAAGATAGCGTCCACGAACATGTAGGCCGCAAAGTTCAAAACCTCCCCTATCAGCATGAGGGTCATGCCCGCCCACCACCACCCGTTCTTGAGGTATCCGTAACCCTCGCCAGCCACCTCGTTGTACTTTTCGTTGGCTTTTAGCAGGCCCATCTTCTTGACAACGAAGGAGGTACCGATGAAAAAGCCGGAGCCGACGGCGAGCAGGATACCAATAATTTTGAACGAGGGCGGTCGAGTGGCATGCTCTGCCTCGTTTTCTGCACGAGCGTATACATGATGTGCCACTTCTAGTATTTGCGCAGCTTGGTCCATGGCTGCGCAGAGGGAAGCACACGACGACGTAGAATCGTCGGTGTGGAGGAGTGTGGATTGCTGTTCTTTTGGCTGCTATTCAGGCGACAAGCTGGAAGTTGTATGGATTGGGCAGTCTTTGCCGTTCGAAAGAAGACAGCATAAACCAGAGAGAAAAAAAACCACTGAATTCCGAAACCAAATCAGAGAGGGATCCAGAGAAAGGGCGGCCAGGGATGTCGTCGACTCGAAACGTAGCGTTACCGCCAACTCAACGAGTCCAAACCCGTTTGAAAAAGGACGGGCAGATCTGAAGCGCGGCTCCGCAGGCGTGAATGGCTAGACCCTAATGCTAGTAAAAGGTTCGGCGTTTATTTCTGGAAGGCCGACAAGAACGCGGTGAAAGTACGTGGTTTGTCAACAAGACAAAATACAACAATGCTTGTAGCCGCCGACTGTCAAAGACACGAAAAAGGGGGGGTAACAACCAGACTTGCTCGCGTTGTGTAATTGTAAGCTTGGGCTTAAAGACGGGGAATAAGTCGATCCGGATCGTCTGATGGAGATGCAATGATTGTCGGAGCTTTAAGAGGGCCGGTGGAGTCGACGTCGAGCACGTTGAAACGGTTGCTGTTTGCGAGAGCGAGATGAGCCTCGTATAGGACGGTAGCGAGGAGAGAAGAGGTGTGAAGTCCAACAACAAAAAAAAAACGGTATAGAAGACGCCGAGTTTCCCGGGTCGCGTGCCCGGTCGACGTTGTGTATACGTATTTTAATTTGTGTGTTTGTGCAAGGTCCAAGTCGGAAGTCGGAGAGTCAGGCCAGATACCCTGAAGAATGTCCAAGGACGGACTCCAGTAGGTACCCTGGAATCCTGATGATATGGAAAAGGCTGGAGGCTGGACTTTCGGTTGCCCAGTCTTTTGGCTGGAGACAGGATCGTGGGGTATATTTTTAGGGTGGCGGGGGGCCTGAGCACCCGTCCGTAGGAGGGAATTTGTTTGGAGGATCAGTGAAGATAAGCTTCGAGATGGTCGGGTCGGTGCATGTTGCTTCAGGGCGCAAGAGACCAACACCAATATAAATCAAGAGATAGATTAGAATTGCAAAAATGAAAGGAAGAGATTGAAGAATTGGATTCCGTAGGTAGGTTTAGGTTAGGTAAGAGCGGAAAGAAGAGAGTGATCAGGAGAGACAGACAGATCCAGATGATGTGAGGACTGGAGACGAAACCTTTGCCCGCGCGCGCGCCAGACAACAGAGTGCCCGCCCAACGACTACGTACTAGTTTGAGAAGGAAGCTGAAAACCAGCGCCGCCCCTCCACCGGCCGGTGGGATGCAGTGGGGACGAACTAAGCGAACCCAGCATCACACCGGATTGGTCCCTGCAGTCAACTCTCAGCATGCCGGTACCCTTACATCCGCCGAAATCCAGGGCAGTGCGTCCGGAAGGTGGTCTGGGCCTTTGTTTGTCTTTCTGCTCCTCTTCCACTTCTTCGCAACATCAATCTCAAGAGGAACACAGGTACCGAGGTATTCTTCCCGACAGGCAAGCAAGGCCAATCCCACCTGCCAGATATTGTAATCGCTGCGTATGTCCGGTGTGGGTAGGTATTGTCAGTGCCACTTCCTTCATGAATTCGCGTCCCAGAAATATTGATTACGATTTCTGGAAGGCTGAGTGTCATCCATTCTTTGCAGAAAGGTGGTGTGTGACAGAACTTTAGGCACATCAGATTACCTGGTTGTCAGGAAGGTTGTCTGTCTGGAATGACCTCATAGGCTACTATTGGGCACATCTTCTTTCGCGCCAGACCTGCACACATTGCGACACATGGTCGCGCCTTTTGAAACAAATCAAGCTGGCTGGCTGGCTGGCTGGCTTGCCCAACCGATTTCCGTGTGTTATGTACAGTACGCTACTGTTCATGTCAACTTTTCCCCATCTTCCATCTCATGTCGAAAAAGAAACGGTTCTCATAGGGCAGACGAATCTATCTACCTACCCCGGACCCAGGAACGTTTCAAGAAAGGCCCGGGACCTTTTCTGGAACAGCGAACGTTCGGTACCTATCAGAGACGATAGGTAGATGGAGGCCCGGCCTGAAAAGAGACCTTTGTGCGCGCCAACTGTTTGAAAGAACGTCTTCCCCCCTCGAGTTATTAATGGTGAGCATCCCAATCCAATGTCTTTTGTCAAACGGGCTGGATTGTCAGATTGTTTACCATCAATGTTGATCTGTTTTTCCAAAGCCCTTTTGCCTTTTGCCCTCCATTTCCATGCTTTGTTACATAGCTTATCAAAGTTATGAATGAACAGCCATCACCCTCAATGGAACAGGATAAATAACTAACCGCATACCACCCAATAAGTGCACATGTGATGTCACCCGCTTTTCATCGTAGGGTACCCTTTACTGGGAGGCGCTAATGACCGTTTTTGCCTATTTGCAATAAATCAATGATAGGCGCTCAGCTACCTGCTACTCCCTTCTTGTGGCCCGAGTCAATTTGACTTTTTTTGATGCAAGATTTTCACCCAATGTCAACGAAGTTACATCAGCAAAAGCTGTGTAACCCACACCCGTAGGTCAGATCTCTCAGACACTGGGTAGGCTGAGGTAGGTAATAAGGAGGCCTCACAACAATAAGCCCTGGGATGGTATGCTACTTTTTGAGGTGTTTGTCTTGGTCGACGAGCATCTGGTTTTTGGGAAATATAGTAACCAGTTACCAAGGATTTTGGACATTACTTCCTAATGCGCGGCGCATGTGGGCAGGAAATGTATTGAGGAGGCACTGAAAGACAAGGGCTCTACCCCATGGGGATCGCAGGAACATGAAGATGGTATTACATAGTGCGGCGAGGTGCAATGCGCCCCTTGTGCCTGAATATACAGCAGGCAACACTTACACAACAGCGATTAGAGACAGCCAAGTTTGATCAGTAATCTCTGATTTGTAGTGCCGCTCCAGCAAGAAAGTAAAGCGGTCATAGGAGTAGAGCCAAAAAGTGAACTATATACAGATGTAAATATGAGATAAATGTATGCCAGCTGTCAGAGCCCAGGAGAAAAGCTAGAGCTCGCTGGAAACGCCCTCTCTTCCCAGCGTGTGTATGAGGGTATCCCTTTTGGCACTGATGATTCCCGTTCCCAAACGCCATTATCTTTATGAAAGCAAAATAACCCAGTCGCCAAGCTCCAACGCTTATTACGCAAAACCAAAAGCGCCCGCCCAACCTTTGCTAGTCATTCAGGTCTGATCGGGTCCTCTAAGCCTTAACCACCCAGCCAGCATTTACCATAAAATCGAAAATCCTTCCTCCCTTCTGCTGATCGACTCTGCAGATGTCCTTGGCCTGTCTCCTCTTCAAACTCCCGTTGCCCTTGACGGCTTCCTTGAGGATCTGCTCCTTGATCATCAGGTAAGGCTTAGGCTGGATCCTGAGCACCTCACACAGCTTAACCTCTTCCGGCGTGAGGAGATGAAGATCGGGAGCATTGTCCTGAGAAAGCGGAAGGGGTTGTATCCCGGGAATAGGTTGTGGTAGGAACTTCTGTTTCGACGGTGTCGCATTACCATTGGCAACGATTGCACTTCCACCGTTCATCTTCTCGTGCTCCTCCGCCTTCATCATGCTGAGTTTCTCAGCCTCAGCGATAACATGAGGTGACTGCATGCGCGCCGGCAACTCGGGTTGTACCAGAAGAGCTGCGCCACTTGGCGGATCTGGTGGTGGCGGTTGCTTGCTGCGCTGAGCACTCGCCAGTCGTTCACGGTCCATGGAACCTAGCGGTATCGATTTCTGGATGCGTGCCTGCTTTTCCTGCTCGTACTTCTCGCCGCTTAGTAGATCACCGATCCGGAGGCTTCGCCATTCCTGTAGTTGCGCAATTGCCTGTCGCAAGTTGAGCTCGTCAATCAACCCTTGGCAGAACTGTTCAAAGTCGACGCGGTTCATCATCCGCGCAAAGGGCTTGGCCTTGTTCAACAGATCGCGTTCCTCCTTTGACCTCTTCTTTTCCGACTTTGTGTTTTCCCTGTAATCAAGCAAGTTGTGCTCGAAGATGACCTTCTTCCTTTCGACACGTTGCGTCAACCGGCAGTTGTAGATCTCCATGACGGTAAGTTTGAGCTCCATCTCGGGTTCCATCTCGCCTGTCCGTGGGTTAATTCCGTCTCCTGGGTCGAACTGCATGAGCTGAACAGCCTCTTCCGCTTCGTTGCAGAACTCGGTCTCGAACTCCAAACGTCCAGGCATGTATCCTTGGATCTCGTGGCACGACGGAACACTGGCTGTCGGCTTCGTCTTCGCTTGGAGGGTCGGGGCGTTCTTAGCGGCTTCCCTCCTCTCCTCAATGCGTCGCTTCTTGCGCGCCTGAAACTCTTCTCTCGAGATTTCATTTGCCAGTTCCATGTCGTGGGGGCTGCATCGCTTCGGAAGGGGAAACCTGGGAGAGTCGACGTAGACTTGGAGATAGTGGTCGCGGACCTCGTCCTTATCTCGGTAGCCGCCAATGTGGTCCGCAATGTCGGCCCAAGAACCCAAACCGTAGACCTGCGCGCCCTCCAGAAGGAGGAGCTCTTCGTCTGCACCCCATTCTCGGTCGAATATGGGAAACGAGTTCTGTTCGATTACTCGGTATGGATGTGTTTGTGGCTGATGCGCATTACTGAACGCTCCTTGTGCAAAGCATTGGACACAAAGATCATATTCATTGCAGGCGCTGTGGGCACACCTGATTCGAACCTATGCAAAGTGAAAGGTTAGCTGGCTTGTTGTTGTTGTTGTTGTTGTTGTTGTTGTTGTTGGGAGCCAGAAAGGCTGAAGTCCAAAGAGGTTCCCCGACCCCACAACGTCTCGTGATTCGCGCGACGCGAGGTCCGGGGCAGCGGTAGCGGCCGCATCGGAAGGGAGATATGACGTCCAAGCGCCGGGACAGATGGAGGCTTCTTGGCTATGAAAACACAAACCTACCGTGGAGGTTATGTCTGCTGAGCAGACGTCGCAAACGTATTTAACACCTCCCTCGCCGCCTCGTGCAGCGATCTTCTTGCGGATGACGCCCATGGTGGATGTCCCCGAGGGACGGGGACTAGGATAATCCGATAATACGCCGGGTGTCAGAAAAGGGGGTTAACGTTGTGCGAAATCCACCGCTGAAAGCTCCCAAAACGGCAATGAAAGAGAGCCAGAAAGGTTGCAATGTTGCTGTAACGCGTATATTGATGAACTAGGCGGCTGACGGTAAGATGTCGATGAAGTTATGTCGATGACCTTGATGGCGTGCGATGTTGCGGTTGTACGAGGGTGTTGCGCCTGGAACCAGCAGGGCCAGGGGCTGCATCCCCCAAGTGCCACTGCAGCAATGAGCAATGCCGTGAGCGGACAGGTGGCTCCAGCTGGAAACCCACTTGGTGGTGGCTCCGAAGTTGTCCCGAAGGTTGCCGCCCAGCCGCCTTGACGGTACAACCCTAACCCGTAGCAGCCTCTTCTAGCAACGTCTGGGAACGGTGAGCTTGGCAGACAGAGGTTGTCAACAGTTGAGATGAAAGGCAAACATCAAGATGAATTGTACAATAAGTTCTACCGGAAGTGTCAATCATCTTTCAACCTGTCAAAACTGCTTCGCTCACGCAAGGTGGTACGTACCTGAGGGAAAGCACCAATCCGTCCCTACCTAGTCAAGCTGGCGCACGGTGAGCCTGAGAAGCATGGAGCGAGTGTGCAAGCGCTCCACTGACATGGTGCGGAGGAGCTCCACACGAGCTTGTTTAGACGCGGGGTTGCTTCCATTGGTTTCAGCATCGTGAGGGGCAACGAGGAGTGTTTTCTTTGATTTGGAGAACACCATGGTGTGAATGTGGTTCTTCCTTTATATCTTCTGCCAAACATACATCTAGTTCTATATCATAGCCGACAAAGGTTTTACAGTTTCGTTTCCTCTGGAAAGAATCAGTTTGCAGTGTATCAGTGATAGAATACCTAGTTGTACTGGTACCTTCCAAGTTCCAACCTGAATTCACATGAAATTGCTACTTCCTCCATTTCTCCGCACTGAAGCAGCCCACCCACACTTTGTAACGGTACAGAACACATGAAATTTCCAATGCAACTAATAGGTATGCTGTCTGTCTGATGATGACAAACAGTGTCTTCTGAGCCCCAGAAGACCCAGGAAACTAGTGAGTTCGTGAGCTCATCAAAGGCTGCACAAGAGCGTATCACGGCGTCCCAAAATTGTAACTGGGCGAGGAGCCAAATGCTGCTGCCCAGACTGTTTTAAGGAGCGGACCCATTCCTCTGAATAAACGCTCCGTTGATATGCCTGGTACTTCAAGGAAGTAGGGCCGAAGAACGCCGAACATAAATATCATTTCATCTTGTCTGGTACCCGGCCGTTGTACCCAAGAAAAACGTTTCGGTAGGTGTGACCAGGTTGCCTCGGGGATAGTATCCCCGAACATATGACGCCTCAAAAGTGGAAAACACCAACCACCAGTCCACATCCTGGGACACCTCACTTATAAGAATATTTATAACCCAACCCACAACCTTTTGATTGATCGCAATCCTTTTGGTCTGCGAATTCCATATAATACTTATTTCTCGACGGGTACCGAATAACGCAACCATGACCGACAAAGTGCTTGACGACATTTCGCATCGTCGCTACAACCCCCTCAACGGCTCTTGGCTGCTTGTATCGCCTCACAGGACAAAGAGGCCATGGCAGTGAGTCCTCCATACCTTGACGCAGAAAACAACAGACAACGGAATCTAACTGACGAAACACAATTAGGGGCCAGCAAGAGGCTCCAGCCCTTAGCAAACTTCCCGAGTACGATCCCCAGGTGAGTAATCCCCACGCTTCACAAACTTTGAAACAACCTTCACTCACTGACACGCAAAAACAAATTAGTGCTACCTTTGCCCCGGCAACAAGCGCGCCCAAGGCGACTCCAACCCGCATTACAAAAACACCTTCGCCTTTGTCAACGACTACAGCGCCGTCAAGGAAGAACAGCAAGAATATAACCCTCCGCAGGCCACCTCTGACGATGACATCGCCTCTCTCCTCCTGCAAGCGCAGCCCGCCACAGGCCGTTGCTACGTGCTCACCTTCTCCGACAAACACGACACCACTTTGGCGGACATGAGCGCTTCCGAGATTGTGCCGGTCATCGAGACCTGGACACGCGTCTACGCCAGCCATCTATCTCCTTCACACCCGCTCCATGCCGCCGCAGCGCGCGCACTCGCCGAGATCCCACCCAACCCGGACGGCGAGGTCACCCCCTCTAAAGAGCAGCTGCGGTACATGCAGATCTTCGAGAACAAGGGCGCGGCCATGGGCTGCTCGAACCCCCACCCGCACTGCCAGATCTGGACGACGAGCACGCTGCCCGAGGAACCCGGCAAGGAGCTGGTGCAGATGACCAAGTACCACCGGGAGCACAAGGGGAGGCACCTGCTGGGGGACTACGTCAAGGTGGAGATGCAAAAGGGAGAGCGCGTGGTTTGGCAGAACGATGCGTTCTTGGTCGTCTGCCCTTGGTGGGCTGTCTGGCCGTTTGAGGTGCTCGTTATTGCGAAGAGACACGTGCGCGCGTTGGTGGAGCTTACGGCCGAGGAGAGACTGCAATTTGCGGAGGCGGTGCAGGAGGTTACGAGGAGATATGATAACTTGTTCGAGACGAACTTTCCTTATAGTAAGTCTGCCCTCCACTACGATTCCGGTCAGCAACGTGGCAGAAGAAGCTAACAAGTAACAGGTTCCGGCATTCACCAAGCGCCGCTGGATTGCACGGAGGAAGAGGCTGAGATGAGCTGGTTCCATATGCACTTCTACCCTCCCCTCCTCCGGTCCGCTACCGTGCGCAAGTTCCTGGTCGGGTATGAGTTGATGGCTGAGCCGCAGAGGGATATCACTCCGGAGCAGGCGGCTGCGCGCCTCAGAGACTGCGGAGGTGATCTATATCGCAAGTCGTTGCAGTAGTCGAGACGCATGATGCGCTTGATCGAGCTATTAGGTCGTAGTACATTTTCCGCATAGCCTAAGGTCTCGGGTACTATTCCGCACGCTCCTCATGGTAAAGATCCACTCGTTGCCCATTTGGCGCTTGTACTGTTGTCCCTTTTACTTTCCAAAAACCGGCTCGTATCTGGCCCATCCCTTATTGGACATAGTGACCATACTGCAACACCATCCACAAAGTACCGCCATACGCCGCCAAGAAGGGGAAGATCTGGGGTCCGCTGAAGCGTTGCGTCTTGTAGATGAACATCTCGCTGGTAAAGTGCACAGCGGCAATGACGTGGGTCCAGATACCCAGCTTGTACAGCGACTCGTTCTCGAGGTTGTAGCACGCGTAGAAGCGGATGATGCCGGCCATGAACGTGTAGGTGCCGAAGACGCGGGCCGCCAGCGGTGTGACTTGGTCCTTGGCAGCAACCTCCTTCTTCTCCGCCTCAGCGGGCGTGACGGGCTTCAGCACATCGACGCTGTCCTCCGGGCTGTACTTGCCCTTCGCGGGCGGCAGGGAGGCGTTGGGCACGAAGCGGCCGTTGTAGAGACGTCGCGTAAAGTGGAGGGTGCTATAGTTTTGGAGGGCATTGCCCATGGCTACGATGGAGACCTGAAGAGGGGGCGTGTTAATTGCGAAACCATTGTGAAAGAGTCAGGAGGAGCACCAATGACAACTTACGAAGAAGAGATAGTAGGGGAGGAGACCCTTCTCGCCCGAAGGCAGGAAAGCCTTGATAGCGTCCATTTTTGATTCAAGTAGTTATGAAGTGGTTCGTTGTCGGGGAAGAAAGCTATCGTCCGTCGAGGATTATTGTATCAAAGCCCCTTTTGTTGTTGTTTTGTTTGTTTCCTGTTCCAGTTCGGGCATCGGATGGAAACCTTTCGGGCCACTCTCAAGCGCGAGAGACAGGGGTCATCGCAGCATCATGGACGTACGTCCACAGGCATTGGACGACATTTGGAGACAGCAAAACAATTCCGCCAGGCTCCCCCTTTTCCTCAATGATAGCGCCATTCATTGGCCAGTGGCCAGAGCTTCTCTCAGCTCCGTCGGAGTTCAATGGCGGGCGTCGAATGATGGCTCGATGGTTCCGCAAAACGGAGACAGCAAGGTCCTGTTCGGGCACCGGGGCCGCGGGGCGGGACGCCACGAAAATCTTAGCGGCTGACACATGCAAGCGCAGGCGAGTCGACCCCTACCCAAAAAGTTCCCAACATTTATTTGCGGCCGGACCAAACTTGGAGAGTCTTACAACTCCCGAATCCAATCCAAGAAAGGCTGAAATCATCGACTTTCGCCGACAACCCATACACAATGGATAAGGTTGCTCAAGTCTGGGGCTCTGTCCCTCAACTTTGGGACTCTGTTCCCCAGTATGGCCAGTGGGCTCTTGCTGGCATCGGCGCCCTTTACGTCGCTACTCGCGTCGGCGCTTTCCTCCAGCTCATCCTTAACGCTTTCATCCTGAGCGGCACCAACGTACGTCTTCTTTGGAAACCTTGTCTGGATCGGATGGAGCAAGGAGAACGCAACTAACACAAACCTTGACAGCTTCGCAAGTATGGCAAGAAGGGCACCTGGGCTGTCGTTACCGGCGCCTCTGACGGTCTCGGCAAGGAGTTCGCCCAGCAGCTCGCTTCCAAGGGCTTCAACCTCGTTCTCGTCTCTCGCACTCAGTCTAAGCTCGACACCCTCGCCCGCGAGCTTGAGCTCAGATGGGATGGTCTCAAGACCAAGACCTTCGCCATGGACTTTTCCAAGGACGACGATTCCGACTACGAGCGTCTTGCTGAACTCATCAAGGGTCTCGACATTGGTATCCTGATCAACAACGTTGGCCAGTCCCACAGCATCCCCGTTCCTTTCCTCCAGACCGACCGCGACGAGCTCCAGAACATTGTCACCATCAACTGCCTCGGAACACTCAAGACCACCAAGGTTGTCGCTCCCATCCTCGCCCAGCGCAAGAAGGGTCTTATCCTTACCATGGGCTCTTTCGCCGGTGTCATGCCCACTCCCTACCTCGCGACCTACAGCGGCAGCAAGGCTTTCCTCCAGCACTGGAGCAGCGCTCTTTCTTCCGAGCTCAAGGATCAGGGCGTCGATGTCCACCTTGTTGTCAGCTACCTCGTCACCACTGCCATGAGCAAGATCCGCCGCACCAGCCTCCTCATTCCCAACCCCAAGCAGTTCGTCCGCTCTGCTCTCGGCAAGGTTGGCCTCAACAGCTCCGAGCCCTTCCCCAACACCTACACCCCCTGGTGGAGCCACGCCGTTTTCAAGTGGGTTATTGAGAACACTGTTGGCGTCTACAGCTACTTCACCCTCAAGCTGAACAAGAACATGCACGTCGACATCCGCAACCGTGCTCTCAAGAAGGCTGCTCGTGAGGCCAAGAAGCAGTAAGCGCATATTGCAGCTTCTAGCTACCACGTTGCTAACGTGCAAGGATCTCTGGCATGATGGGTTCCAGCCAAAAGGCAAGTTAACCCACCTGCTAGACTGTGTACCTTGGTGGTAGAGAAAATGGGGAAGCGTTTCAGCAGACCCTGTGAGTTAGCGACGACTTGACACGGGTTTGAGCAGACGAATTCATGATGTGCGTCGACATGTAAGAGATCAAAAGTAGAAAATAGTATCTAGACGATAATCATGAAATAATGTCAGTTTACGTGGTCGCTGAGCTGAAAACTGCGAGACTTCGTTTGAGGGAAACATTGATGACGTTGTCAATGATGATTGGACAGTTTCAGCGTTTTAAAAGGCGGGAGAAAAACATGCTGCCGAAAGGGGTTAGCGCTTGTCTGCGGTCTCAAAACCTCCAGCACACACGCGCGTCCAAGATTCGCGTTCCAGGTCGCAGGTTCCAGTTGCCAGCCGGGAAACGCCCTGGGCACCAATGATTCCTGCCCGGTCGCGGTACGTACCGCTGTCCCAGCTCTCACGCCAAAAATTGTTTACGGCAGCGGGCCAGCCTCTTCAATCTTCACCATCCACAGTCCACCTTTGAAAGTTGATTGCCCAATCGCGCGCACAGAGCTTCCTTGCTCTCAACACCACCACCACCACAACAACGCCTTCACCTCAAGCTCTGGTCGCCGATCCTCGACCACGTCGCATCGTCCCGGACTTTATAGCTGTCCCCCGGATCCCCAGACCTTTCTTTCATGGTGGTGCAATTGTACTAGCACACCGACTTGCAGCGAGCACCGCGCTCTCGACTTTGTGACCTCCAAGCACCCAACCAACTTGGAGACCTTGAGCAAAGAGAGGGCAAACGGAGCAAAAGCGGCAAAACAGCACCACACCGCGGAGAATCGAATCGCGAAAGCTGCCGTATTACGCTGCACCCTTGGAGCTCCGACTCGTGCCGACCCCCATATTCTATCAGCCTCCATCTGCGTCGTTCTGGAGCTTCCCCTCCCTCGACCCTCGCGTCGAACCCTGAACCGCTCTTGCAGGTGGCACCGAAACAACCATCCCGTTGCCATCCCACCATCGTCCTGTCGGCTGTTAGCATCACCTATCCGCCATCATGAATCCAGCCACACCTATGCGCCAAGTGCCCGGCGCATTCCTCAACACCCCCGCTGCCCCGAGGACCGATGATGCTCGACGCTATTTGGACTCGCTTCCTGAAAAGAACACTGCGAGGCCGGCGCTAGGAGGGTTTGGATCCTATAATGCTGGTGGTGCCGGTGTTGCTTCCGGACCCGTGACTGGGCCCGTCTCTGGCCCCGTTGGCGGCGCCGGTGCTGGACCTGTTGCTCCTCGCCCCGTGTCGCAGGTGCCTGTCCCAACGGTGCCAGCTCAAGCCCGCACAGATCTACCACCGGTTGCCAAGGCTGCGCGGCGCATCACTAATACCCTACTACGTGACGAGAACTACCCCGATGTTGACTCTTATGCTAGAGGTGAGCTACCTGTTCAGTCCTCTTGCCCGCATGGTTCCCGGTAGGACTGGCTAACCATGTCTCTTCCTTATAGCTGGCTCCTCCTCGGACTATGACATGTACAGCACCGATGACGCGCCCGGCGCCCCGTTCAAGAAGACTCACATGCACCCCATCCCCGATCAAGTCTTTGAGCGGTTAAACAGGGGAGAGGTCAACACGCAGCTCGGCTTGTTCGCCGACATCAACTACGCGTGGGCTGCTATTGACAGCTCCCTCTTCCTCTGGGACTATACCCACCCGAACCCCGAACTCATCGGCTACGAAGATGCCACAACCACCATTAGCGCTGTCGCCCTGGTGCCCCCTAAACCCGGCGTGTTTGTTAGTAACATCACCCATATCCTAGTCGTTGCTACGGGCACCGAGATAGTTCTGTTGGGCGTATCCGCGACACCTACCCCTTCGGGATCCAAGACCGTCTCCCTCTACCAAACAAAAATGGCAGTACATCGCGGAAGCACCGACGTCAGCATAATCGTCGGCACCGCGAGCGGCCGTATCTTCTTTGGAGGTTATACCGATACCGATATCTACGAGCTCCTTTACCAGCAAGAAGAGCGTTGGTTCTCGAGCAGATGCGCCAAGGTCAACCACACACATCCCGGCTGGACGTCGGTTGTTCCTAACCTCCCTGTGCCAATGGGCTTCTTGGGCCACCGTGATCAGGAACACCTTGTCCAGTTGGTTGTCGACGATACTCGGAAACTCCTATACTCCCTCTCGGACAAGTCCACCATTCGAACATACTTTATGGAGCCGTCTGGGAAACTGACAAAGGTTATCGAGAAGAACAAGGTCTCGTGTCTCAGTGATATGACTCACATGGTTGACTTGAACAGGAACCCATTGCTTAATGAGAGAGTCAGGATTGTCTCCCTTAGCGCCATCTCGTCGCAAGAGGCTTCAAAGTCTCACCTCATGGCACTCACCAATACGGGATGTCGCTTGTTCCTTACTGCAACAAGCGCGGCATCCTATATGTTGAACGCGTCAGCAAACCTTGCTCCTCAGAGCATGCAGGTCCAGTACATCAAATTCCCTCCTACGAGCGAAGACCAGCAGGTTCCCCTGCGCAACGAGACCAATACTGCTGTTGCATATGCGCCTGCCCCTGCGGCTGCTCAGGATCAAATGTCCGGTCTGCTTTCGGAAAGCTGCCTTGGTCAACGTTTTGCTCCGGGTTATTTTTTCGACGCAGTTCGCTCCAACGAAAGCCGCACGGACTTGCTCTTTGTATCAGCTCCTGATGTCGGCAGACTCAGCAAAACGCCGTGCTAAGATATGTTGAGCAAGGAACTTTGATTCCCCTGGGCGATGGAAGCCGAGTTCTTGCTATCGGCCTTACTGGCAAGCCTTTTGCGGCTGCGAAGCAACCACTCGGATTCGGCAACGAGCTAGCTGTTCAGTTTGACCATACCCCAAGCGAGTTTGCTGTACTCACCAACACCGGCATTCATATCGTTCGCCGCAGGAGGTTCATCGACATCTTTGCTAATGCGATTCGCGTTGCATCTGGCGATGAGGACTTGGACAACAAGGTCAAGACCTTCACGACCATCAACGGCAGGGTCGAGATGGTCGCGGCTGCGTTGGCGGTAGCATGCGGTCAGGGAGGAGACTCCCGTCGCGCTGTGGACCCCCTTACCGAGGACAGGGCGCGGTCCATCTTTATCAACTATGGAGGTCAGCCAAAGCTCGCGGATGCAGATGTCTTGCAGGCGCCGGAGGACAACGTCCAGCTCTCGGCTCGCCATGATGCGCTGGTACTCTATCTTGCGCGCCTCACCCGCACGCTGTGGAAGTCCAAGGTCATTGCGATGGCTACGGATAGCGCTTCGGGTGGTTTCACTGTTGGCTCGGCCATTCCTGTTTCGAAGCTCATGACGGTACAGGAAAGTGTGCAACGACTAAGGAGGTTCCTTGAGCAAAACAAGAGTCTCATTCAGGGCCTGGCCGGGCCGTCTGATCGGGTCTCTAGCAGACAAGAGGAGATCGCTTTGCAGCTGGAGCACCAGTCGCTTCATGCTTTGCGCCAGCTGATGGACAGCGTGTCTGAGGGCATTTCCTTTGTCCTGATGCTGTTCGATGAGCGGGTAACCGACATCTTTATGCGCCTAGATGATACGTCCAAGCAGCAGCTGCAAAACCTCACGTACGAGGGTTTGTTTTCTCAAGACTCTGGAAAGGAGCTCGCCAAGGTTCTGGTTAAGGCTATTGTTAACCGCAATATTGCCAACGGAGCCAATGTCGAGACTGTGGCCGATGCACTCAGGAGAAGGTGCGGCACTTTCTGCTCGCCCGATGACGTCGTGATCTTCAAGGCTCAAGAACAACTGCAGCGGGCCAGCGAGTCACTGGGCAACCCCAACCTCATGCGCACTCTGCTTGCGGAGAGCTTGCGGTTGTTTGACCAGGTGGCGGGAAGCCTGACCATGACCAACCTGCGCAATGCGGTTGAGCAGTACATTAACCTCAAGTATTACGCTGGCGCTATCCAGCTGTGTTTGGTCGTCGCGAGAGAGAAGGACCGTGGAAACTCGGCTCTTTCTTGGTTCAACGAAGGCAAGCCGGCCAACGATCCCCGTGAAAAGGCTTTCAACGACCGGACAAGTTGCTATTCCTTGATTCACGAGGTTCTTGACCGCCTAGAGATTGCCTCAGCCTCGGAACCGGATATTGTAGACGGCAGGCCGACCCTCGCTGCCACCAAGCGGGCGGAGGCGTACAGCGTCGTTAACAGCTCGGAGGATGAGGTCTTCCATCTCGATTTGTACGATTGGTACATCGAGAAGGGTTGGACCGACCGTATGTTGGCCATTGACTCTCCCCATGTCATCACATACCTGCAGAGACTTGCCGCTGTTGATGCTCAGCACGCTGATCTTCTGTGCCGCTTCTACACGCAACGGAGCCGCTTCTTCGAGGCCGCTCAAGTGCAGGCTGATCTTGCCAAGTCAGATTTCCCTCTCGGCATCAAGGAACGCATTACCTTGTTGAGCAGAGCCAAGGCCAATGCCAGCGTCACCACTGTCGGTGTGAGTCGCCAGCAACAGCAGCTCCTCAACCACGAAGTGACGGAGCTGCTGGAAATCGCCCACATCCAGGACGATCTGCTTGAGAGACTAAGGGCCGATCCTCGCATAGCAGCTGATAAGCTCCCTGATATTGAGAAGGTTCTGGATGGTCCCGTCCAGGGCCTTTCTACTGTGAGTATTCCCTAATTAAAGTGATGCGTTACTCATTGCTAACATGTACCGTATAGCTCTTCAACGATTTCGCCGATCAGGCCGGATACTACGACCTCTGCTTGCTCATCTACAACGCTGCGGACTACCAAAACCCGCACACTATCAACGAGACGTGGGAGAATCTCATCAGCCAGATCCACTTTGAAACCGAGCAGAAGCAAGAGGCGTGGCGTCTCCTAGAGGCCGGCGAGGCATTGCCCGACGGTTTCGAGGCTCTTGAAGTTCCACCCCCCATGCCCTACGAGGCTGTCGTCTCCCAGATCCAGTCCATTGCCCACCGCACCTCCCTCGACAGCCTCATCTTCCCCGTCGACACTCTTCTCCCCATGGTCTGCGGCTACGCCATCAACAATCACCAGGACGCCTCGATCGGCGCCGACCCCTGCTGGCCCGTCGCCGCCTTCCTGCAGCTGGGCGTCCCTCACACCCTGATCGCTCGCGTGCTCGAGAACATGTTTGACGCTCAGGAGGCGCCCTTCGTTAGCAAACACAGAAAGTCGGTCGTGCAGTGGATCAACCTCGTGGTCGACTCGTGGATCCGCGAGATCGAGCACCGTGGCTCGGCCTCGGGAAAGAACGGCGACGGCGCTATCACCACCTGGGTCGCTGAGTTGCTGACGAGAGCCGAGGAGGCGCTGGTGGCGATCGCTGCGGGTACCAGGGACCCCGCTCAGGCGGTGAGCCTCACGGCTACCAGGAGGGACACTAGAGATTTGAAGAGGAAGGTGGAAATTCTTTCCCAGGCTGAGGCCCAGGGCAGTCTGTTGTTCAGCACCAGGTAGGACCAGGTGAATCCAATGACTCCCAAGACGCCCATGACGCCCAGTAACAAGAAGAAGCGGACGTCGTTTAAGGCCACGGTGGAGGAAATTCCAGATGGGGCGGAAGATTCGATGCTTGGTGGTAGTATTCCTGGAAAGTGGAAGAGGGGATTTACTTGATGTGGAAGCGGGGGGTGGCTGTGGTTATGAGTGGTCAGCCATTTTGGACCTTGAAAAGCACGGTGGTGTAAAGATGGCCTGGTGGCGAAGAGAAGGAAACTAGAATTACGAGAAAGCGATTGTTGCGCCACGGCCCTTTTCTAGCATATTTTTTGTTGAGTAAATTGGTCCGCAGTGGCTTTCGGTGTGGGTGTAGGTTTGGTTGGTCGGTCGGTTGGTTGGTTTGGTTAATGTGTACTGTACATAAACTATCTATCTGTTTTTTTTCCTCTCGTGTTTCCATCATTCCGGTATTCCAGGTTACCCCCGGCCTCTTCGCTTTGGAGATTTGGTTCATGATTGAAATGGTCGAGTTGATGCCTGTTGACATATGTGATCCTCAAGGTCTTCATGATGCTGCTCACTGGGTTTAATTACCCTTATGCTGTTTGGTCTCACCTTTTATCCGTTTCGAGGACATGATGCTGTTCTGTTATGCCATCGTAAACACTCACTTCTCCATGGGATAGATAGCAGACGCAAATGGAAAGGCAAAAGAAGAATTGAAAACATATGCAGACTGTGGTTTGAAAAGAAGGAGGGGGAAAAAAAGATTTGCGCGGTCCGAGACTCGAACCCGGGACCTTCACCAGGAGATTTGTGTTCAGACTGGCCCTCAGCAAAACGGTCTTTGACTGTGGTTCTATGGGAATTTCAACCCTAACTACCCAAATCGAGTGACGCGCTAGACCACTGCGCCAACCGCGCTTTTGTTTTCTTGGTTGCTTGTTGGGAAGGAGACACAAAAAGGTGCCCTATGTACCCCAAGCGACGGAAGGGATTGACTGGCGGCAAGCGAAGGCAGGAGCTGCAGTGGCAGAGGCGCGGGCACGGGCACGGGTTTAGACTTGGGATGGAAGGTGCAAACTTGGGAGGGGAGGAGGAAAGGAAGGAAGAAGGAAGGAAGGTAGGAAGGAGGTATGTACACCTCTACCTCTGTTGCCTGTGAAGTGGCTACCTACAGTAACGAGACAGCGAAAGGACCTAAGCTGTTATGGAACACCGTATTGTGGTAATAAACTTATTACTTTTTTCTTCTCCTCTATGTCATCTTGGTCGTAATCGTCGCCCTTCCTCCTCGTGAAGCATTATTTCCGACATTAGGTAAGCACGAACATCCCCACACAACTTTCTTTTTCTTTCCTACTTCCCTGCTCTCTTTCACTCTTTCCATTATGTGTACTCCATCCTCCTCATCTACTCCTCCACTCATCTCTAGGTACCAATTCTCTTCTCTATTACCAACAAAATTCTTGCTTCGCTCCTCCATCACCACAAAACTTTCCGAGCAACACAAACAACTCAATCATTTAACCGCCCCTCACCATCACCCTCATCTTTACTCACTCTTACCCTTGCCATCGCCGACGCCACCAATGCCAGAATCAGGGCTGTCAGAGACACTACAGACACTAGCTTGGTGTGGTCGGTTCTCCTTGGGGACCTGTGTAGGTGCAGGTATGTATTTTCCAGGGTGATAGGGTGATCTTGGCGAGAGGTTCGATGAATGGGCCGAAAGATTCGGCGAGGAGGGGAGTAGAGGTTCAGGATTGCCGACAGCGAGGACGACCGGTGAGTATGATCTATAATAATCTTCCGGTACCTGCTCTGTTTCTGGTTCTGGTCCTGGCTCTGGTTGCAGAACCGGTGATTCTCTAATCTGGTCGTCATGTTGGTGTTGTCCATGTTCCATTTCCATGAAATCCCTTTGGTGATCGGTGGGATCGATCTGTCGGTGTGATGAAGCCCTAGAATTGGAGACACTCCTTCGACTCAGCAGCCGCCCTTCCTCATCCAGCACCACAATCTCATCATCCTCTCGCTCATCCGGATCTTCTTGCTCCTCATGCTCCAAAAGGGACATGCCTCCTCCTTGCCCAGTTTGATCCACGTCCTTCTCCAAACTCAGCAGCTCCACAACCGACACTGAAACCGCCGAAGGTGATTTTGCACCTGAGTGTCTCGAATATGTCGATTGGCGCGAGCCTTTTCGTTCATGTTCTTTTTGTTGTTGTTGTGGGCTCAGCGCCACTCCATACCCACCCGACCCGTAAGCGGGAGACCTAGAAGACCTGTGAGATGGAGAGCCAGGCGGGTGGGAAATCTCTGAAATGCTAGCAAAATCCGTCACTGTCGGTGAGGGGGGCATGGAAGAGACCCTTGATCTTGGTCTTGATATTGATGAGTGTCGTGAAGCTGGACGGTCATCATAGTGGCTGTGGCTTTGGTTATACCTGTTGCCAGACCGGCTTGGGGAGTGGTGTGGTGGTATAGGGGACCGTGGCGGGTTTGATCGCCGTGAAGCCGGACGGCTGTAGGTCTGGCTATGGCTGTAGCTACGACTGTGGCGGCTTGGAGAGCGTTGAATCGGGGAGTGATGGGGTGATGTAGGAGACTGAGGCGGGCTGGAGCGTCTGGAGCGATGGGAGGCGTGAGACCTTGGGGGCGACAAGCTGAGCCTTGGCAGGGGAGATGGACGAGAGTGTCTGGACGGGATTGATGGATGGCGTGAAGCCTGTGAGCTTCTGGTTCGGGGATTTTTTGCGGAAGGTGGACTGGCTGAGCGGATGGCCAATGATGATGTTGAAGGGGATGCAGTATGCCCATGTGATGATGCTACCTTCGATCTGCGCCCTTCCTTTGACGACCCCTTTGGCGATGCTACCTTTGACCCACGCCTTTCTTTTGACGACGCATATGTTGGAGCCTTCACATAACGAACACCCGAGATTGATCTTTTTGGGCCCTGACGGTGGGATCCCACTTCCGAGCCCGCAGCTGAACATTGTTTATGCGAATCTGGTCTAGATGACTGCGCTCTCTTCGCATCATCCGCAACCGATTCTCGTATCGATGCTTTCGAAGCTCTTGACATAGTCCGGTGGCCTAGATTCACCGAGGTCGACTGCTTAGACCCAGCCTGGGAGGGTGCACTCCGCTCACTGGTCGTACCCGCTTCAGACATAAGCTTGCCGAAATTAGCTTGTGCCTCAGAAACGTCTTGTCGTGAGATCACACTGCCATTGGATTTTGGTGATTGAACGTCAACGATGTGCGGATCAGGTGAGTCAGGCGCAAGCCCATTTGATTTCGGTGAGTCAACATCGATGATAATCGGATCAGGTGGATCAGGTGCAGAACCTTCTGGACGAGGACCGCCCGAGGGATCTCCTCTAGGACCATGGGGCGGAGGTCCATCCCCATTCGGAGGTGGCTCATCAGGCGAAGAACCACTCGAAGAGGAAGAGCCATCCTCAGGAGTTGGCGTACTCGTCCTTTCCGGCGAAGTAACCTCCGCTACCGGCGGTGGTGGTGGTTCCCTCTTCCTCTGATTACGAACCAAAAAGCTCATCACATTAACCGGCCTCGTCCTATACACAGCAATATG